ATAATAGTTCATCATTGGAACATACACCAGAAAGGTTGTGCGTTCCATTCCAAATCCGGCCAGGACAAAGGAAAATTGTAATTAAATGGTTGTAACTCATCATATAAAATTCATATACATCAATGAGATGAGATATGATATACCTTTCTGGTGTATGTTCCAATGATGAACTATTATATGCAATGCAGTTCTGTGTCCTAAAGAGAAGGACATTGAAATCTGGAAATAGGGGGAAGACTAATTCCTGCGGAATGGAACGCACGTTGCGTTCCAAGTTAGGACTGGCGGGAATCTTTGTGTATCATGATGTGCAAAGAGCTATTTTAACAGGTGATGCAATCACTCAAAGCATTTTAAATGCACTATGGATAAAACCATAGTGAAAGATTGAAGAAATTCTTATATAAAAATTGGCCCAACTTGCCTAACTGTCTAATTTTGCACTTTTAGGACAGAGCAGATTCTGCTGGATGGAGCGTCTGCAAATGGCCCTGTATGATGTGATACCTACTGTTTGTTGAAGACTACAAAGTGACATCCATTGGGGGTTTTCTGCGGTGTTACTTGAAGATTTCAGCCAACTCCTGTCAAAGCCAGTCACTGCTGCACTAACTTTGCAAGGGATCAGGACCAGCAACATTATATTTTTGTTATTTTATTTTTAATTTCCTTTTTTTAGATTTTAAGGTGTTGTACAGACTTAAAAGTGTAAAAAAAAAAAAAAAAAATGCACATTGACCAGACTTTTTGTGTATGTTTATATTGTATTGTATTCTTAAAATTTGGTGCCCTGTGACATAAGAACTCACCACTTCAGTAATAGTGATACTATGGTTCAAATGGTTGTAAAAATAGTTTTTTATAAAAAAAATGTATACACAAAGCTAACGTATTTGAAAGCATAACTATTTGACAATTAGTGTGACCAAAGTAACTTACCATTTCTCATACGTTCTTCTTTTCCACTCTGTATAAAGTTTTTGGGGGTGGCACCTGCCCCCCGACAGACAGACCTCTTCAACTTAAGTGTTCTAACTCTTTAAGTCCTATAGGACCATGAAACACGTGGCTCACATTTTTGGCACTTAGAGGGTTTATTGTATTTAAGTTACTAAAAGTCATTAAAACATGGCTATCGTTTGAACATTTTGCCAAGTTTTGTACCTGGTAACATCACCCTCCCTCCATTCAGATCAAATGTCTATTAGTATTTTACATATTTATTGCTGCTTTGCTGGCAAATTATCAAGCCATACATTTTTGTCTTGCTTACATAACAGGTGAGCCATGATTTTCAATATCCATATTTCTCACCTGCCAAATTCATCTGCTTGTCTTTTTATGCACAGTGGGCTTTTTATTTTGTTGAATGAAATTATTGCACTGTTCCAATGCAGTGTACGTTTTTATTTAATTTGTTCATTGCTAGATAAACGCTTAAACTTTTTTTTGTTTGCTTGCATTTGTGCATGTCAGTTGTCTGTGCCAATCTGTGACATAATTTTCATATATAAATGCTGTACATGGGGGGGAATAGGGATTGTTTTGTTTTTCCATTCTTATTTTATTTTTTCTCCCCAGCAGTGTGCCTGCATTTGATTTGTACATAGGTAGGTAGTAATTATGGAAGCCAATTCTATGTAACTTTTAATGTTTCTTTACACGTTCCATCTCCAGTCTGCCTTCGTAATGCAGGAAAAGCAATTTTTTTTGCTGCACTGCAGTCCATTATTTGCACACCTTTTTATTTATTTTAACTTTTTAATGTAAATCTAGTTTTATTACCAAACTAGGTTCTCATTGTTTGAGAATTCCTCCCTGACCTGGTATTTTAGGAAAATAAAAGGAAACTTTGAGCCGTGGCCCTCAATTTTAGATTTAGCTGCCCATGCAACGTGCCTAAGCATTACATTGCATACTACATACAATAAAAAGAAATAAGCTTTTTTTTTTTTTGCTTCCTTTTTTTAGTATTTTATGATTTTATTTTTTTTCTATATATGTTCTTACTTTTTATCTGTCTTACAATGTGTGTAGAAGAATATAGGAATATGTGCATGCATATGCAATTTTCCCATTATAGAAAAGCCACTGTACAGAAAATTACTTTACAACATTCTGCTCACTTTTTAATTCACCTGTAATAGTAGTCTTCCCGTTAATTCTAACTTGATTATTGCAAGTCTTTTTTTTTTGTTTTTTTTATATAACCTATTCACAAATAGGCAAGTGAAGTTATATCAGCCGCACTTATAGCAGCATGAAATTGCAATCCTCTGAATCTCCATATAACATGCTATTCACAAACCACCAACTTGCACCCAAATTTGATTAATTTGGCTGTTCCAGTTCCCATGGGGTGTTACACCAAATTAACCCCAACCTGTCTGACTAAGCTGTGCTGTGTGTAGAGTTTTGTCAATATAGCCGATTTCAATCACCTTAAGTTGCTGAACTACAACTGGCATGGTTCTCTGCCCCATCTACTGCATTCACAGAATGTTGTCAGGGTTATTTACTAAAGTGAGAATTTAAATAAAAACTTCAAATTTAAGACCGGAGTGCATAGTTAACGTCTAGATTTATTCCAGTCAAGTTATTTTAACCTTAAATTTGAAATTCTTTGAATTCTCACTTTAGTGAATAATCCTATGAGAGTTGTAGGTCATAAATCTGTGTGAGGCTAGTGTTTGAAATCATTAGACTACATCATCCCTATCACTAATTCTTGTTTATAAGCAGTGGATTCTAAACATGGGCTGTGAAATGCATCCTTAAAAGCTAGGTGTTAATCTGGTTAACACATCTATTTTTTTTTTTTTATAAATAACTATACTCGGTCATCTGGGATTTACCTGTGGAATCTTATTCTAGAACTAAATCCTAGATGGGTCAACTTATTCATGCATACATTAAAGGGTTACTCCACCTTCCATTGATGCTTGTATCGAGCTAATCATGGCAACATCACACATTAATAATATCCAAACTTAAGATGGGAGGTAGAGGGGAAAAAAAAATATACTCACAGCCAGTATAATGCTTGCATCAAATTTTATTGTGACATGAGACAGAGGTCAATACACCTCTATCAAAGGACGTAGTAGATGCCAAATCCAACTTATACTTGCTGAAGGTCATTGGAGAGAACCATGTAGCTACCCTGCAGCTATCATCAAACGAAACAACAATTAAGCGAGGAAGCTGCTAGAGCTCTTGTGGAATGGGTTCTGAATTTCTCTGGAAGAGTTGGGTAGGTTTATTGATAAGCCTTCATGAAGAGATTAAATATGCAATGTCTTGGAGTTGAAGTGGCAGCTGCTTCCCCTTTTCTAGACCCTATAGGAAGGACAAATAATTGTTGTGACGTAAAATCTGTCAGTCTCCAAGACACTTTGTATCAGAAATTCTCTTATGTCTCGCTGATGGCGCTTAGGTTCCTGTTCTGATGATGGATGTAAGTAAAAGGACACTAATACGACTTCTAGAAGCATATGAAAATTAGAAACCATTTTAGGTAAGGATTATTGGTTGGATAAAAATGCAGGAGCCTTCCTATTAGATCTGGCTGGGCAGGTGCACCTTCAGAATTTGTAGATTAAGTGTGAGATCTTTCCTGTAATGGGCTTAGTGTTGAAGGAAGAAGGCTGAAAATTCCTCCATGACTACTGTCTAGAATACGCTTTTCTTGGCGGTAAGATCTACTATCTTGAATAGTTTGATTACATAACCTTTGGTCTTTTCCCTTGTGGCAGAAATACTTTCTTGCTTTCAGCGACTTACTGAGTAGCTTCCTTCAGAACTTTCTCAGAGAGAAGGTTTCCTTGGACTGGTAAGGAGCTTACAGAAGACTTTGAAGCATAGTCTGCTCCCCACAGAAGACATAGTGCCCATTGGGATGCTATAGTTAAGGCCATGCTCTTGGCAATCATCCTAATTATGTAAAAGGATGCATGAGAACTGAAATTTGTAGTCATCTTTAAGTATCTGAGGTTCTCAATAAGGAGTTCTCTTCATTAGTGATGTCGCGAACTTGCCGCGAACGGTTCGTGGCGAACTCCGGTCAGCTGACACATCCCTGCCAATCTCTGGCAGACCCTCCCTCCCAGGCCCTCCTACTTCCTGGACAGCATCCATGTTGAAGGCAGCTTCAACATGGATGCTGTCCAGGAGGTGAGAGGGTCTGGGAGGGAGGGTCTGCCGGTGATTGGCAGGGATGTGTCAGCTGACCGGAGTTTGCCGCGAACGGTTCGCGACATCACTACTCTTCCTACGTCTTTCGACATATCCTAATTTGTTTTGTTTGTCACTCAAGGACGCCCGGACACCCTGTCAACAACTATGACCAATGTGTCAGCATAGCATTTAGGGTAGAGAAATGCAAAGTTATTCACGTTGGGGTCAAGAACGCACAAGCAACTTACATCCTAAATGGTAGCGAATTAGAGGTAACCACACATGAGAAGGTTTTGGGAATTGTTTTAGACAACAAATTAGGCAGCAATATGCAATGTCGATCTGCAGTTGCTAAGGCCTGTAAGGTTTTGTCATGTATAAATAGGTGCATAAATTCTCGGGATAAAAATATTTTGCCTCTTTATAAATCTCTGGTAAGACCACACCTTGAATATGCTGTGCAATTTTGGGCACTTGTGCTAAAGAAGCATATCATGGCTCTAGAAATAGTGCAAAGACGAGCTACAAAATTGATAAAAGGAATGGAGCATTTTAGTTACAAAGTAAGGTTTAAAAAAAAAAAAAAAAATTAAATCTCTTTAGTATGGAAAAATGGCGCTTCCGAGGGGATATGATTACATTATACAAATATATTCGGGGCCAGTACAAACCATTATCTGGAAATCTATTCATAAACCGGGCAATACAAAGGACATTTAGGCTGGAAGAAAAGAGTTTTCATCTTAAGGCAAAGAAAAGGGTTTGGTTTTGTTTTTTTACAGTAAAAACTATAAGGATATGGAATTCTCTGCCGAAGAGGTGGTTTTATCAGAGTCCATACAGATGTTTAAACAGCAATTGGATAAATAGAGACATTTGACTGCCATTTTGGGGTCAAGAAGGAATTGTTTCCTAGTTTGTTGCAAAATTGGAAGTGCTTCAGACTGGGGATTTTGCCTTCTTTTGGATCAACAGCAAAAACATATGTGAGAGGCGGAGCCTGACAAGCGGACGCCATATCTGAGAGCTCCCAAACAACTGATTAAATCCGACCAAATATCCAAGCAACTATAGACCATCCGACCGTCTTACCGCCACAACTGGGTCCCCAGAGCCATAACGCATCGATAGATGCCTTTCTTTCATACGACAAAGCACTCCAAACCGTGGCGAAAATCCGCGGCCTACAGCACACCTCTGAGCCTGGGACTGGAAGCACTCCTCCACGGCAGCACCATACTACACCCGCAGGGAACGGAGTCCGCAACCGGAACACTGGACTGCAATGGGGAGACGATCCCAAAAGCCAAACACAGTGGCTGACGGCAGAGACATTGGGGACATGCTGAGACAGCCCGTGCAGCCTAAGCTGACCCCTGCTGGAGACCGGAATGAGGAGAACCGGGCGCAGGACAGACAAGAGGCTGCACCAACCACCCAGGCAAGTCTACTACACACAACTGACGACCCGGACGGGTCTGCACCCACAACAAAGCAGGATTTAAAACTCCTACTTAATGACATTCAACAAGTGTGGACTGCTGACCTCAGGGCACTGAGAACTGATATACAGGCCATAACTGACAGAGTACAAACCTCTGAAAAGGACATACTAGCTTCCAGAACTGACATCGTGGCCCTTAAAGAGACAGTACAAAAATTGCAAACCACTCAAGTCACACTGACACACCAAATCACAGCCCTGGAGGATAAACAGCGCAGGAACCACATAAAAATCCGTAGCATCTCTATGAGGGAAAAATTCAGCATCCCCATGCAGTGCGTGGGGACACTGAACATCAGAACTGCCTACTGTGCAGCACTGAGCCAGGAAGCACCCCCAGTGGCCATCTGAGATGTGGCCACTTGGAGGTGTCCCTAGGGGCAATGTAAACAAAGCCGTTTCTCTGAAAAGCCAGTGTTTGCATGAAAATGCCTAAAGGTAATGATTATACTCACCAGAACAACTATATTAAGCTGACTATAGTGTCCCTTTAAGTTTTTCAGAAATTTGAGCTACAATAGCTCTTCAGCGTGATTGGACTAGATGAGTCAGCCTTTGCTCCTGATGTCTGTTCACAGTTGTCCTTCTTTGCACCACTTTTGGTAGGTACTAACAACTGCATACTAGGAATATCCTTCAAGTATTGCTGTTATGGTGATGCTCTGACAGTTGTCTAGCCATCACTGTTTGGCCCTTGTCAAAGTCACTTTCATATTCTTCCTGCTTCCAATACATGACGTTCTATAACTGACTGTTCACTTGCTGCCTGATATATCTCACCCCTTGACAGGTGTCATTGTAACGATATAATCAATGTTATTCACTTCACCTGTCAGTGGTGTTAACGTTGTGGCTGATCCGTATATATATATATATGTATATATTTCATGAAAGCCCTATTAAGCAGGTCTAGGTTGTCAATTCGTTTCCAAGAATGATTTTTTTCCATTCGCCCAGTAGAAAAACACCAAGGAGTAACAGAATAGCTAAAAAGGATGTGTAAAGTGAAGGCAGTTGTTGTACCACTATTGATAGGAGTACTTTATTTATCACTGGCATTTATAAAGCGCCAACATATTCCGTAGCGTACAAATACAAAAAAAACAAGCCTTGCACTCACACTCCCATCACTCCTGGGCGGTAGCAATGACCATAATACACATCAACCCCAATAAAAATCAAAGAAAAAAAAAATACCGCAAAGACCATAGTACACATCAGCCGCAATAAAAAACAAGAAAAAAGTTACCTGCGCTATTCCCAAATCCCTATGTATATTTAAACAAATGGAGGTTATTTAGTTTCTCCAATGGCTGAGAGACTTTAGCCCACCTGCCATGTCAAGGCAAACCTTTCTGTCTCATTAGAGATATCTTTGCCAGAAGCTCAAGGAAGCAATGTGAAAGGTCAGAGTAGGATGTACCTGAGAGGTCTGCCTTGACGTGGCAGGTGGGCTAAAGTCTCTCATGGCTATTGGAGAAACATTCCATAGTGTACTTGGGGCTGTAACCTCCATGTTGGGAGAGTGACTCCATTAGATTCCAGATTTGTGGGAGTTCAGTTCTAGGAAGATACTGCTCAGAACCCTCTCCTTATCTCTGCTAGAGGACCCAAGTATTAGGTACCACTCAGCAGGTGAGAGTCGTTTGTTCTTATCCCTATTCTGGCTACAGCAATTATACCATGTGAAATAACTGTTCACATACCAAAATTTGCAGAGCCATTCTTGAAAACCATGTTCTCTTCATTACCACAAATTATTGTATTAAGAGCTATATCTATTAACACACTAGAAACATTTTCACACTTTGTACTTTTGATAGAAATCTATCAGAACTCTGATAGAAGCAAAAGATATTTTCATTTTTCAGTTGCTTTCTAAGCATTCCATGTAGGATCTATTTCCCTGTATACAGTGTTCATATTAAAAAGAAAAAACTGTTAATATCCTACTTTTTGTTTGCTTTTGCATTGGCCCATGTTACAGTTTCATTCATTCTTACATTTTTAACCTTTCCCTTGTGTTTTCACATTGACCCTGATATAATTCTGTAGCCAAACAGGGAGGGATTCCATTATCCTCCCCTTACTTGGCATGATATAAAACCCATCTCCATTCTCACTAAGAGCTCTGGTCTATGTTCTTACCAACCGCAGTTATGGAGAATGATAATTGTACACAGCCGTTAACAGAGCCTTTGGCTGGGGATTCTTCTACAATCAATGATAAACACTATAAACCTGAACCTGTGATGCTACAGCATGAGAATTTCTCCAGTCAGCCACCTCAATCCACTGTGGTTACTATATTACAAGATGATCCTCCCATAAAAGATTACGTGCTCTTCTCGATCTTTAACATCATGGTTGCAAATGTATGCTGCTTAGGATTCCTTGCCCTTGTCTTTTCTGTTAAGGTAAGAATTACTTGTACGTGTCATATCTAGGGAATCGACCATTGGCATTGAGTTTTTCAAGGGCTTGAAAGTTGAAACTCAGTAGTGTGACAATCTTTTTCACTGATATAACTGGAAACGTCAATCATTCATAAACCTGTTAACCATGGCCCAAGAACAGTCCTGATATAAATTTTACAAAAATAAATAAAACTCAAATCAGACTGATGGGGGAGGGGGGGCTTAGAACCATTGGAATTGTCTGAGAATTACCCATGTAGGCTGCATTGTGGTAACATCTGGGTAAGATCCCCAGCTGCAGTTTCCCCATCATTGTTCTGTAGTGGTTACAGTTCGGGTTCGTACCGAACATTACGGTTTTTGGACCCCGAACACGGACATATCACTGTATATTCGGGTTGGAGTTCGGTGATTTAATGGCACGTTTTCAAAGGCTGCAGGGCAGCCAATCAACAAGCGTTTGAGTCGTGTGCCCTTAGAAGCCATCACAGCCATGCCTAATAATGGCATGGCTGTGATTGGCCAGTGCAGCATGTGACCCAGCCTCTATATATAAGCTGAAGTCGCGTAGCATCGCACGCACATGAGTTCTTATTAGTGTAGGGAGAGGAATTCTGCAAACTAGTACATTAGTGGGGTGCACTTCATATCTGAGAGTCAAATAGAAGCTTCAAATACCGCTGTTACATCGGAGTTTTAAAAAGCACATTTTTTTGGGTGCTAAATAGTATATTAGTGGGGTGCACTTCATATCTGAGAGTCAAATAGAATCGTCAAATACTGCTGTCACGTTGCAGTTTTAAAACCTAAAATGTTTTGGGTGCTAAACTGCTAAATAGTATTTTAGTGGGGTGCACTTCATTTCTGAGAGTCAAATAGAAGCGTCTAATAGTGTGCTTACAGCGCAATTGTAAAAATCCTAATTTTCTGGGTGCTAATCTGCTAAATAGTAAATTTTGTGGCCTGCTCTTTACATCTGAGAGTCAAATCGAAGCATCTAATAGTGTGCTTACAGCGCAGATGTAAAAATTCTAATTTTCTGGGTGCTAATCTGCTAACTAGTACATTTTGGGTGTGCTCTTCATATCTGAAAGTCAAATAGAAGCTTCAAATACCGCTGTTACATCGGAGTTTTAAAAAGTAAATTTTTTTGGGTGCTAAATAGTATATTAGTGGGGTGCACTTCATATCTGAGAGTCAAATAGAATCGTCAAATACTGCTGTCACGTTGCAGTTTTAAAACTTACAATGTTTTGGGTGCTAAACTGCTAAATAGTATTTTAGTGGGGTGCACTTCATTTCTGAGAGTCAAATAGAAGCGTCTAATAGTGTGCTTACAGCGCAATTGTAAAAATTCTAATTTTCTGGGTGCTAATCTGCTAAATAGTACATTTTGGGCGTGCACTTCATATCTGAGAGTCAAATAGAAGCTTCAAATACCGCTGTTACATCGGAGTTTTAAAAAGCAAATTTTTTTGGGTGCTAAATAGTATATTAGTGGGGTGCACTTCATATCTGAGAGTCAAATAGAATCGTCAAATACTGCTGTCACGTAGCAGTTTAAAAACTTAAAATGTTTTGGGTGCAAAACTGCTAAATAGTATTTTAGTGGGGTGCACTTCGTTTATGAGAGTCAAATAGAAGCGTCTAAAAGTGTGCTTACAGCGCAATTGTCAAAATTCTAATTTTCTGGGTGCTAATCTGCTAAATAGTACATTTTGGGCGTGCTCTTCATATCTGAGAGTCAAATAGAAGCATCAAATAGTGCGCTTACTGCGCAGTGGTAAATATTCTAATTTTTCGGGTGCTAATCTGCTAAATAGTACATTTTGCGGCCTGCACTTCATATCTGAGTCAAATAGAAGTGTCAAATACTGTGGTTACAGTGCAATTGTAAACATTCTATTTGTTTTGCTGCTAAATAGTACATTTTTGGGCGTAATCTTCATTTCTGAGAGTCAAATAGAAGCGTCAAATAGTGCGCTTACTGTGCAGTTGTAAAAATTCAAATTTTCTGGGTGCTAATCTGCTAAATAGTACATTTTGTGGCCTGCTCTTCATATCTGAGAGTCAAATAGAAGCATCTAATAGTGTGCTTACAGCGCAGTGGTTAATATTCTAATTGTTTTGCTGCTAATCTGCTAAATAGTACATTTTGCGGCCTGCGGTGCACTTCATATCTGAGAGTCAAATAGTGCGCTTACTGCGCAGTTGTAAACATTCTAATTGTTTTGCTGCTAATCTGCTGCTTACATTGGAGTTTTAAAAAGTCAATTAAAAAAAAAAAAAAAAAGGTGCTAAATAGTATATTTGGGGTGTTCCCTTCATATCTGAGAGTCAAATCAAAACTTTGATTCGAATTTACTACATCGGTCACTTGTAATATTGTTTCACACCTACAACACTTGTTACACAGATCTAAGTGATAGAAAACATTGATATTTTCTACACTAGAAACTACCAGATAACAAGCTGCTATATTTAAACCAGTTATAAATAGCTACAATATTGTAATTCTGGGGCAATACCCTCACAAGTCAAACTGAGAGGTCAGTTTATAGGGAAAACTGTTGCCTGGATACAATTCTAAAGCAATTTCCATATGTTCTTTGCAGACTTTACATGCTGGAAAAACACAGATGCCAACTGCTGTGGCTTTCTGCAGTGTGCATACCGGCAAGGAGGGCAGGGTTGAGGAGTGAGTGGAAGATGATGTGGAGGATGATGAGGTCCTAGACCCCACATTGAATCAAGGTCATGCGAGTGACGTGTGCAGTTTGGAGGAAGAGGCGCTGGTCGCACAGAGGCACCAGCACAGCATAAGAGGGAGCAGGGTGCAAAAGCGAAGCGGCCATCCCCTAGCGCTCGTCGGCATGTTTTAGCTCGAGAATCACCAGTTATCCAAGTAATACATGTAGCGAACAAAGGATCCATAATAGAGTTGAGCGAACCCGAACTACAAAGTTCGGGTTCGTACCAGATTTAACGATCCATTCACAGATTTAACGATTATTCATAGTTTCACAGTCAGATGGGCAGTCCTGTGACCAGGACCCATACACTGTCTGGGCAGCGGTCGGACGACCAGGACCCAGTATGCCTGATGTTGAAGTTAGGAGTCACAGTGTGGAATGGATTAGCAGGGTCTGGTGCAGGGTAACCGCACGCCCCCTGGTGTTGAGCACCAGCGTTTGTGCGGCCACATACCAGGACCCTGATGCAGCTTCAGTAAAAAGAGTACTGGATACCAGAAGCCATCACCAGACTGATCCGCAACTTGGAACAGGATGTGACATTCACTGTAGCGGCTGTGCACGCTTTTGGCGTTCTCACCCTGTTGCTGCTCACCTGTCTGCGCTGCAGCGTAACTTCGGCCTTCCCGCTCACCGCCTCATGAGACTGTGCGAGCAGCAGCAGGCGATAGTGGAGTTTCAGCTGCAGCACGCACGGGTCAGTGGCTCTGCACCAGACTTCCCTCCAGTTGATCAGAGTTAAAGGATTACAAGTGGACTCATAACAATACAGGACTCTTTAGAGGCCCTGTAATTGTAATTTGTCGTTGCTACCTTCCCATGTCGTGAGTGGGTCATTTGCGCGCCTTCTGCCTTCCTTGCATGTGGTAGCCGTTTCTCAGGGTCCCTGTATGGAATGGAACCCTGATTCCCCGTTACCTGTGGTCACCATGGTAGGCGCAGTTGATATGGATGACATCCGAATGCAAAGTCGACGTCACAGGTATGTGCGATTGGCCCGAGGTTCTCTAGAGTCAACAAAGTGCCTGCTCAACTATAATGTCAACAGCTACTCTGCGGAACAGAGTTGTCTTTTTTTATATGTCCCAATATTTTGGGGGCTACCCCAATTAAAAAAAATATATATATATAAAAAACGGTGTTGGCTACCTCATCCTCCTCCTCCACCGCTGCTTCCACCTACACCGCCACGGTCACCGCCTCCTCAACCTATGGGTCACTTAGTATAAACTATGTACACATTAGCAGAGGCTTGTGAAGGCCTTTTATCCATGCATCAGGAGTTGAGCATTTCTCCATGCATCAGGACTGCAAGAAATGCACCGCAGGCTGCAAATGTTTCTTTTTTTTTTTGTATGTCCCAATATTTTGTGGGCTACCACAATTTTAAAAAAAAACAGTGTTGGCTACCTCATCCTCCTCCTCCACCGCTGCTTCCACCTACACTGCCATGGTCACCGCCTCCTCAACCTATGGGTCACTTAGTAAAAAACTATGTACACATTAGCAGAGGCTTGCTCTCCATGCATCAGGAGTTGAGCATTTCTCCATGCATCAGGACTGCAAGCAATGCACCACAGGCCGCAAATGTTTCTTTTTTTGTATGTCCCAATATTTTAAGGGCTACCACAATTAAAAAATAAATAAATAAATAAACATTTAAAAACAGTGTTGGCTACCTCATCCTCTTCCTCCACCGCCACAGTCACCGCCTCCTCAACCTATGGGTCACTTAGTATAAACTATGTTATGCTTGTGAAGGCCTTTTATGCTTGTGAAGGCCTTGCATCAGGACTGCAAGCAATGCACCACAGGCCGCAAATGTTTCTTTTTTTGTATGTCCCAATATTTTGTGGGATACCACAATAAAAAAAAAAAAATTTTTACAAACAGTGTTGGTCACCTCATCCTCCTCCTCCACCACCACGGTCACCGCCTCCTCAACCTATGGGTCACTTAGTATAAACTAGGTACACATTAGCAGAGGCTTGTGATGGCCTTTTCTCCATGCATCAGGAGTTGAGCTCAGTTTGAACAATGAAAGAGAATACCCTGCACTCCAACCCTCTCTCAAATGGATAATTCTGGTGATCCTCCTGACAGCCATGCTTTAGATTTTGATATATGTTCTTCCAAAGCTAAAATCAAAGATTCCATCTAGTGCTATTTTATGGCTCAGCTGTATTTTTTATTTTTATGTTATTTTAAGTGATTTCCCTATCCACATTTGTTTGCAGGGCACTTGTCCTACTCTTAGCCCCATTTTACTTCCTTTTGTAGCTCTCTAGCCCTTTCCAGGAGTTTTTTAGAGACATTTTTGTGGCCAAAAGTTTGGGTCCCCATTGACTTCAATGGGGTTCAGGTTCGGGGTCAAGTTCGAGCTCAAACCCAGACTTTTTTTCAAAGTTCAGCAGAACCCGCCGGACTCGAACATCCAGGTGTCCGTTCAACTCTAGTTATGGTGCTTGGAGTGTTCTTTGAATGCACTATCATTGAAGCACCGTCACACTGCACTTGATGCTAAAATTGTATTAACAAAGGCTTGTGTAGGAAGGAGGACAGATCTCTTTCAACCACAAAACCCCATCTATTTGAATGGCAGTAGCTGTGAGAAACACACTATAATCTGAGAGGGCAGGGACGATGACGACTTCAGCTAGACTTCTGTTGTATGTGTTATGGAGATGGAATGATAGGGGAACATGACATGATACTGGGAGTAAGAAACATGATAAAAGGGGGGAAAGCTCTGTCTATGACCCCCCACCCCAAATTGAACTCTACCCCCTCCAATCTCACGCGCCAGCACTGACTTTTCCTCCAAGATCCGTCTTCCAGACATAGATCAATCTTGTTTAAACTGACCGATCACATATCTGAAAATTACATTTTGGGATAAAATCTATAACTTATGTTTGCATTTCATATTCTGTTTTGTTTACCTGTATATTAAATATTTTACAAATGGTAGAAGAATTCAGTTAAGGCCAGGCACAACTGTGACACACAGCTATAAATAGTAATTTGTCTCATTTCTCCTCATTTGCAAAGTGTTTACAAATTGGCAGCTAAATTATATTTATTAAAGACCGTTTTCTTTATACTAAATTCAGTTAGTTTTCTCAGAAATTTCCATTTCATAAGAACGCCAATTTTATTTGTCAGATAAAATGTGGAAATATTCATAAACCCGTTGCATCAGTAAATGGTGCGTATTCCAAAATGAGCGCACTCAAAGAAAATATACAATAGATTTGGAGGGTTATTTACTGAACTGAGAATTTAAAGATAATTCATACATTCAAGGCCACCTTTAATCTGGTCGGAAATGGGGCTGTAAGAAGGAATATTATGACTGGCATCCTTAAGAACACCGCGCTGGCTTGGGGCTGCAGCACACGTAGATCAGGCTGCGACCCGCCGCAATGTGGGTAAGTAACCTGTACTATTAATAGCGTGACTGCATCGATCAAGTGTGGTCACGTGATTTCCCTTACCGGGTGCCTGTGACAACTTCCAACAAAGTCGCTAAAGCGGGTAGCATGTAAATTCATAGTAATAATAATAATAATGAAGGTACTCACAGCTCCAGCGTCCGAAACGTAGGTCACTCCCAGTGTGCAAACAAAAAAATACGGATGTCCTCAAAGTATATAAAAATACAGAACTCTTTATTCGACCCCAGACTGTTACATAAACACATAAATATAAACTCACAAAATGTAATGAAGTACCCCTGTGATGTAGAGAAAAAAAAAGGATCTGCAAATATATCACAAGTCAATGAACTGTCTTGAGAAATGTATACAAAATGTTTTGAACCTTACAATGGCGTCCCTTTTTTACATTTTTTTTTTTTTAAAATGTTATTTTTTTTTTAAGCATTTGTGCTATATATTTTTGCACATCTAATGTGTGCTACGGTTGTATAATAACCTAAATTGCACTCCGCTACATATTCCGCCAATCTCGGTTTTCTACGAACTTTGAATATTGAGAGTTGGTCTATATTTTCATCTTAGCTGCTCAAAGCCCAAATCACTCGTGTGGGCATATTATTTGCAAAAATAGATAATCCAGTGTATTTTGAAATTCATTTGTGACCAACTTACCCTGGAAGTTGTATTTTTCTAACTACTGAAGATTAGCAAACCTGCCAAAAGTGTTTTCCTTTACTTATTTAGATTTTTAAATACAGCATGTGTAGGGTTGCTGTATATTTGGGTAATTATTGGGCCAATATAGTAATGGGAGTGCTGCTTGCCATGCAGGTCTCTAACTCTTCCAAGCAATTAAAAAATGGAACATGAAAACTTACCATAAGTATATATTACTGAAAGGAAGACAACCCAGACACATCTAGACACCCATTTGGACATTTGTTTTATGGCCAATCTTTGCCAATAAAGTTGAAGATAAGTCTTGTATGTTTTGCCATAAAATACCCTTTAGCTTCATTTTTAGAATGGTCAAGGCTTGGAGCACTCGCATAGTAAACACAGCTAGTTTATTTTACGCAGAGCACAAGTTTCCAATTGACAGAAGTGTACAGTATTATTATATATTAAGTCCATGTTTCTTGTGATTATATCCAATAGTTGTGATTAAAATGTCTCTGCAGGAGGCGGGGCCGGACCGTCGAGCTGAAAGGAAGCCATGTCATGCAGCGCCGGTCCTGAGCCCGAATAAACATTGATTTCCCGCTCACAAACAGACCATCTGCCCCTCAAATTAATGCATTTTAATGGGGGAATAAATAAGCATTACTGGGGGGACAAGTTGTTGGCTGAGGACCCCACAAATATGAGGACTCTGAAGCCTCAGCCTATTTAATGGCACGAGCCTGCGGCCTATTGCTGAAGCTGGAGACACTCTGCTCGTGCTCTGTGAATCATCATGATTTGAAGGTGCCTGTCTTTCTCAATTTGCGAGGGCAACCGGTGAGATCACGCTGCGGCCCCGCTTCCCCCGGTCACTTGTTTTCCTGTTTTAAAATAAAAGTCTCAACATGCAAGTTAATAGTTCTCAGCCTTCATTTGCTTTACTTTGGTTATAACTTCGACCCTTTGTACCCAGCCATGGAATAGGAGGCAGCGCTAACACTACAGAAGCACCATTCCTGCTTTGCCAGGGAACAGAGGAGAAGGCTCTCAACATACTTACCCAGGGGAATGCCCACGCATTGCTCGGGTGCCTAGGAGGGACTGCCGACAAGCAATGGCAACATGTGAACCAGGCTGTCTCAGGTCGGATAGCAGTGGCCTCTAACTCTAGATGATCCGGAGGCCTGGAGGAAGTTGCTCCCTGTTGTTGTGAGCCCCGGCGGGCTGGACTATGGGGGCCTGTGGCCCATGCTTTGGAGGAATGGCCGGTGATAGAGGGGACACATGGAGGCGCCATGTCTGACTTACCGGGACTCTGATGGGACAGTGGAGGTGCAGAGGCCATCCGGTTGGTGGACTCTACGGGAGGGAGGTCTCATAGACTGGAGGGTCCCTCGAGTGCCCGCTGTGCCGAGGAGCCCATGGTGGGGGGCTTTACCTGGTATCGGGTGACAGTGGAGAGGTCGGCACCATTGGTGGTGCCCAGGTATGACCCCACAGAGGCTTTACACTACTCCTCTATCTTACCTGGGAACAGGGGTGTGGGGAGAGGCACGAGATACATACTTATGCAGAGGTGGTTTCACTTATAGCAGTCAGCTATCACCCCGTAAACAATCCCCTACTTGCTTAAGTAATACTTAAACGTATATCTTTTAATTGATTAATTTCCCTTTTTTGGCACCTTTTTACACTTTTAAATTTTTTTTATTTTTATTAAATATATAACCTGGCCGTACGTGCTTGGACCAAGGTCCCTGGAGTCCATGAGAGGACTTGGCTTCACGTTGGGCCCTATCCCACACGCTCCTCCTTATTCTTGGGGGCACCCCTCTTTCCTTTTTACCTTTTTTAAATTTTATCGCATCAAATCCTTTCCGATCCCTTACGGGAGAAATACATGCTACAGTCCTGACACACACGCTAAGCTGTAGATCCACGACTTCAGCAGCGCCATAGGGTAGCTTATATAGCCTATTTAATGTCACCGCTTCTGTCACATGATAAACTACCAGCAACCACCTGTGCACAGGTGCTAACTAACATGCGAGCTGCCCATGCACTCTACCCCTTTTCTTGCGTATTTAGGCTCAGTGCTCACAACTGCCAATCTGTCTAGACACTGGGTGATCTAGTATATTGATTTAGTTCAGTATTTTACCTTTTTATTGGTTCGTTTACGCATGGCAAAATTGAGGCATCGTTATTTTTCATTTCGGTAACTACACCCATGCATTTGCGAATATTGCTGTGTGCCATGATATACTGCAATATGTTTGCATTTCTAAATGCACATGCACGCAAATCGATGTGATCTTAGTATTTCACTTTTATTGGCTCGATTGCGCATAACAAAACTGAGGCAAGGTTATTTTTAGGTTCTGTAATTACGCCTAGGCATTCGCGACCATCCACAATACATTGTACTGCAATATTATTGTATGCCATTATATACTGCAATATGTTCACCTTTTTAACTGCAAATGTACGCAAATTGAGGTGAATAAAAGCACTTCGGCCCATCTAGTCTGCCCAATTTTCAAAATACTTTCATTAGGCCCTGGACTTATTTTATAGCTCGGATAGCCTTATGCCTATCCCATGCATGCTTAAACTCCATCTGTTATGAGGCTATAATGTTTATATAGACATGCTGAACTGTCCCCATGTAGAGCGGCCACAATCCAAGTGGACACAAAGGGACATGTCTCAGGGAGAAATCAATGGGGGGGGAATCAACGGGGGAGAGGAGGGAGACGAGAAAAATACAATCAACAGCCGGATGTATCATATAAAAATATTTTTTTATAAATAAAGACTTTGCATAAAATCCTTATTGAGTCCCTTGGGCCATAAGGTGTCCAAAGTATGAATCGATTAGGCCTTCTTCTTTTATAACGTCTGCCGGTCACCACCGCTCCTAAAAGGTGGTGCAAGGTCAATGACCTGAAAATGCAATTGTGACATACTATGGTTACGATCAGAGAAGTGGGGAGGTACCCGAAGTTCGATGTGTCTAAATAGTGGACTTCTGTTTATTCAGTCTCACTAGAATTTTTATTGTGGTCTTCTCAACACAGAGGAGGCTGCAAGGACATTTCACAACATGAACAAAATAAGTGGACTCATAAGTTAAAAACTCTTAGCCTTACATGAATTGCAGTTATAGCATGGAAAAGTGCCATAAACTGAAGTGGATAAGATAACTCCCTAATTCCCACAGTTTCAGGTAGCTATCTTTCAAAGACCTAAATTGGTCTTTCAGCCAACTTTATTAATACTAAGTAAAGATTACTTAGTATTAGTAATTCTGACCCTACTTGCTATACCGCGAGTAGGGGCATGTCTGGTAAACAGTGAGCAACAAAAACAAAAAAAACCCTAGTATTCCCCCTCCCATGCCCCCACCCGTGTCGTGTGAGCAGGGCCGCCACCAGAAATTTTGGAGCCCCTAACTCAGCTCAGGGTCTGGGCCCCTGGGGGCCCGCTCCAAGCCCGCCCACAGGATCCACCTCCAAATCCCGCCCACAGGAATACACACACAGACACACAGGCATACATAGTGACAGACAGACACATCCTAACATACACACAGACACATACATACATACTGACATACATACACACATACATTCATACTGACATACATTGACACTGGCATACGAACAGACATACATTCATCAATACTGACATACACACATACATACATTCATAATGACATACACACATACATATACAGACACTGACATCCATACACAGACATACATTCATACTGACATACATTGACACTGGCATACTGACAGACATACATTCATACAGACAAACATACATGCACACTGACAGACATGCATGCATATACTGACATCCATACACACATACATACATACATACATACATACATTCATAATGACATGCAGACATACATATATACAGACATACATTCATCCATACTGACATATACACATACATACATTCATAATGACATACAGACATACACGCATACATATACAGACACTGACATCCATACACAGACATACATTGATACTGACATACATTGATACTGGCATACATACATATATACATTCATACATACTGACATCCATACATACATTCATAATGACATGCAGACATACATACTGACAGACATACATTCATACTGACAGACATACATGCATTCATACAGACATCCATACACACATACATACATACTGACAGACATACATGCCTGCATACAGACATACATACACTGACATCCATACACACATATATACATGCTGACAGACATACATACATACTGACAGACATACATGCATGCATACAGACATACATACACTGACATCCATACACACATATATACATACTGACAGACATACATGCATGCATACACACACACAGAGCTCATTTTTCAGCCACCCTCCTGTTCTTACCTTTTCTTTGCAGGAGGGTGGCTGGGGCTGATAGGAGTCGGCACGGCTCTCCCTCTTCGAGGCCTCTTCGTGCTTTAGGGTGCACACCCTTATACAATAGGCTGCACACGCCTATGGTTAGGACGCAATCCTGTTTTGTCTAAAATGACAGGACCAGTGGCGTACCTACCACGGGCGCAGCTGCGACCGGCCCCTCACTGCAGGAGGCCTGGCCGCAGCCACAATCCCTGCAACCGTGGGCCGCCTAGATGCAGCCCCCTCCGTGTTCCCCCTGTCATAGGGGGGCCCAAGAGGTGGCCCACTGGCCACCTAATGGACCCCCCCAGGCGGCGGTTGAGTTCCTGTCAGACGCGGCGAGGGAGCTGTGTTTGCTGATTCTGGGAGCCGGAATATGACGTCATATTCTGGCTTCCGGCATCATTAGACAGCCCGCAAGGGAGAAGAGCAGAGAGAATTCTGCTCCCTCACCGCGTCTGACAGGAACTCTGCCGCACTAAAGCCCCACTGGACTCCAGGGGCAAATCCACGCCAGCTCTCCAGGTAGGGAGGCTGGGTGGACATTTAGTATTAATAATTTGTGTGTCTGTAAGTGTATGTCTATGTCTGAATGTATATGTGTGTGTGTCTGTAAGTGTATGTGTGTATGTCTATGTCTGAATGTATATGTATGTGTGTATGTCTATGTCTGAATGTATATGTGTGTGTGTCTGTAAGTGTATGTATGTGTCTGTGTGTGTGTGTCTGTGTGTACGTGTGTATATGTCTCAGTGTGTGTATATGAGTGTATGAGTGTGTGTCTCTACATGTGTGTGTATGTATGTATGGGTATCTGTGTGTATGTGTTTGTGTGTCTGTATGTATGTGTCTGCGTGTGTATCTGTTTGTCTGCATATGTTGGGGGGGGGGCGGGGGCGTGTGGGGTAGGAGGTAGATGTATGGGGGGGCCCCAGGGCAATTTTCACCCCAGGGTTTCTAGTTACGCCTCTGGACAGGACATTCAAGAGAATACGGAAAGGAAGCATTGCTAGGTGAGAATTGTGGGAAAATTGTGGGACAGGTGAGAATTCTGGGAAAATTGCTCTGACCACAGGAAATGAAGCACACTTTTCTTCTCCGTTGGTCATAGCTGGTCAGGCGTAGGAAACCTCCATAAGACAAAGTAGTCCCTACTTTGTCTTGTGATTTTAAAGAAAACTAGAGCAAACAGAAGGAATAAAAAACAGATCCTGACAGAGGAAGAGAAGAGAAATTGATTAGGGAAAGGTAAGTTCGGCATGACCATGCCGCTTAAAATCAACTTACACCATCCGGTGTAACATTGCCCAATGGATTCGCAGTGTCGGTTCATACAAGGCACCTTCTGATGACCTAGATGGCCGGCCTTTAGAGCGGAACTTGGGTGCAGACAATTTTGTTGTGTTTGAGAAATCCATGTAGTCACTAGAAAAAAACATGATAAAGTTAGATAAGAGCTAATGATTGACCTGTGCTGACACTGATGTCAATATGCAATGGGTGGGAGGGGGCCTCCTGGAAAACATTTTAATTCATGGAAATTTACTTTCTCCTTGCCAACATCCCTCATTATTCGATTAAATTTACCTTTTAAATTACATTTTATAAAATACTGCTAAATTCCACACACACACTAGGTAATGAGTGCAACTGCTCCTGGCAGCGGGGGGGGGCTAATAACATTTTTTTTTTAATGTAACAAGGTTTGTAGGCTATGGCAAAACCCCATAGATCCAAATGAGACTGTCCTGATTAGGGAAGTTTTTCAGGGTTAGAGAGAGATCTGCCCCAAAGCTGCAGGCATGGTCTCTCAATTCTATTTTCATTTTTTTTTTATGCTAATTTTTTTGGCATATTTTTTAATGCTTAAAAAAAAATGGTGTGCAGTTTTTGAGTATGGTGTCCCTTTAACATGTTAATGAAGCTAATTGTATTCTGTATCTGCTGTCCAAGGTAGTGTTACATCATTGTTTATGTACACACAGTGATTTTTTTTAAATTGCCAGATAATGAGGGAATATCATAGGAAAAGTAACGTAAACCCCCGCTCTTGTGCTATTTAAAAGTAATCTGTATTGTTTGTGATAGTTGCAATTCCTTTCTCTCAAAGTGTTTATTGGAAGCAAGTATAATACACACTTTCCTCTGCAGCAGTGGTGGTGGTCAGGTAAGGTGTGTGGGCATTCATTCGATGGAGTTTAGTATTTACATTGACCTTCATGAGGCTGAATGCACAGAATCAGTGCAGTCACAATGCTTTGAATTGTACATGAAGTTCTGTGTCTGTGGTAACACAAGATCTAGCTACCATGGATCACAGACCTGTTTCTTTGAGCTCTGTGTTCCAGTGCGGAATGGCACAAGAGAACAAACAGACCAGTTAGTAGACTTCAAAGACTAATGTAAGAGATCAATAATGAATAGATCATAGCAGGATTAGGTGTTTGCTAAAATATGAGTTGTGTTGAGGTAGCACCATAATTAAAGGTAAGTTTTGTTTTTTTTGTACTTGAACGCAGGTCATTTATAAAAAGTGTTTTCACAAAATTATTTTCCTAAGTCCATAAAATCCTATCTCTTCTGCAGGTTCCACAGCTCAGCTAATCCACCTCTTTTGTAATGCACTAACTTCTTTATCCATGCAGGTAGGCTGCTTTGAGCTAGATGGGAATTAACAGAACTCTCCTAAGATTTCAAAATTAAACCCTTTTTTCCAGGAAGTGTGTACAGCAGCTGTGTTAGTCACAGCCAGGAAAGGTGTGGTTAGGAATGCAGAAATAAAGGGGTTTATCTTCTTAAATGGCAGAGAATTGAGCAGTGAGTCTGCAGGGGTATGCACATTAAGGAAAATGTGTTAAGGGGTTTATACTGTCCATTTAATTAAAATTGTAGTCATTTTCCAACTTTACAATTTTGGTCTAAGTTTCATCACCTCACTTTTTAACCATTTAAAAAAAAAAAAAAACCATTAAAAAAAAAAAAACCATTAAAAAAAAAACAAAAAAAAACTTGGTACCTCTAACTTTGTACAGTGATGATGATTATTATTAATATACATTTTCCAGACTTTTCTCTGTTCCTGCTCATGTCCTTGTACAATGAAATCTATTGTATGTGGTGCAATTTTAGTCATGGGTTTTAAAGAAGTATATTATAGAAATGTAAAAAAAACTTCAGAGTCCGGTTACAAAATGAGTATAATGGATAAGGTACTTAATTATGAAGAAAAACTAGCGCGCTTGATTCTGTTTACTTTAGAAAAGAGGAGATATAACAACAATGTGCATATTTAAACATGGCCACTCCGAGTACAAACCACTCCAAGGTGACCTGATCCTTATCAGTACTGTACAGAGGTCAAAAAGCTATCCATTGGTATTTAGTAAATTAGATTTTGTTTTTGACAGTGGAAATCATCGGTTTCAGTTAAAAAAGAAAATAATTCTAAAAATAAAAATGCGAAATTCTGTGTATTTGATTATTTTGTCAGATTTTGAACAGATTTTCCAAAAATTATCCATACCTTTAAAAACAAACAAACAAACAAAAAATATATATATAATGATTACTTTATTACACAATTTTATTTCTCTGAACAAGCTACTCAGTGACATTGGTTCCTGCCAAGACTTAATGTGCAGGACAGGCTGCAAACAAACGAGAAAAGGTGAACTTGAGCAATGACCGGTATTACAAAGAAATGAACTTTGACAATGATCAGGGTTACACGGGACATAAAAGAATAGTTTGAATCATTTTAGATTGGTTTGCTCAATATATCGATTTTTACCACTTTATGTACTGACTGACTTAGATTGTCATGCTTTCCCATAAGCATTTCAAGGTGGTGTGCGTCCAATTTTTTAAAAGTGTTATTGTGGCAAAAGCCACTTCGCCACTGTCGTACATTGGAGGGGACTACTTGCCAGCCTTTTACCCTGTGACTATGGCCCCTGTGATAAAGCTTGGTTTAAATCACTGTTTGTGCCTTTTTGGATTTTTATGGCCGCCATCTTGTTCGCCTGGACCAAAACCGCAAATAGACTTCAGGGGTAGTTAGCCTCAGGGCCGGACTGGGAGAAAAATTCGGCCCGGGCATTTTTTTAACACAGCGGCCCACTAAAAAGGGGGCGGGGCATAGGAGGTGTGTTTTGTCATCACCAATGACAAACACGCCTCCTCTCAAAGTGAGCATGTTGGTTCAATGCTCTTCCAGGGCAGACCATGCGCAGAGCTCTGCTGAGAAAGCATGAGAAAAAAGTCTCTCTAGCATGAGAAAAAAGTCCTGTATTTGTTCTGCACATGCTTGCACTGTCTTTCCTTGCAACTTGTCTCTGGTGTCTCTATAAATGGATACCAGGAGACAAAAGGCCAGGAAAGAGTATTGTGCATGTGTTTGGAGCCTGCTTGTGGTATTGCGTGTGTAGAGTGAGCTGGTCGTGGTGTGGTATTGTGTAATAAGGTCGGTTTTAGTTGTGTTGTGTTTGTGGTGTAATGTGATGCATATGTGGCTCAGGGACCCCCTCCCGCCCGGCTCTGGAAAGGGGTTAAAACTTACCTTTTTCCAGCGCCGGGCGGGGAGCTCTCCTCCTCCGATCCGCCCCGTCGGCTGAATGCGCACGCGCAGCAAGAGCTGCGCTCGCATTCAGCCGGTCGCATAGGAAAGCATTTATAAAATGCTTTCCTATGGACGCTTGCGTGCAAAGCACGCAAGCGCCTCTAGCGGCGGTCAATGAGACAGCTGCTAGAGGCTTTGGGGGAAGGCTTAACCCATTGATAAACATAGCAGTTTTTCTGAAACTGCTATGTTTATAAAACAATGGGTTAACCCTAGAAGGACCTGGCACCAAGACCACTTCATTAAGCTGAAGTGTTCTGGGTGGCTAGAGTGGTCCTTTAAGAGTGTTGTGTGTGTGTGTGTGTGTGTGTGTGTATATATATATACACACACACACACACACACATATATATATATTTGGAAGTATTGTGTATGTGTGTGGTGCAGTGTGTTGGGGGGGTTCTGTGTGTATGTGAGGGGTGCAGTATGTGTGCGTGTGAGGGTGCGGTGTGAGTAATGGGTGTGAGAGTGCCGTGTGAGAGTGCCCTGTGTGAGATGGGTGTGAGAGTGCTGTGTGTGAGAGTGCTCTGTGAGTGTGATGGGTGTGAGAGTGCTGTGTGAGAGAATGCTGTGTGTGTGTGAGAGTGCTCTGTGAGAGTGCTGTGAGAGAGTGCTGTGTGTGATGGGTGTGAGAGTGCTGTGTGAGAGAGTGCTGTGTGTGTGTGAGAGTGCTCTGTGAGAGAGTGCTGTGTGTGTGAAAGTGGTGTGAGTGTGATGGGTGTGAGAGTGCTCTGTGAGAGAGTGCTCTGTGAGAGAGTGCTGTGTGTGAAAGTGCTGTGTGAGAGAGTGCTGTGTGTGTGTGAGAGTGCTCTGTGAGAGAGTGCTGTGTGTGAAAGTGCTGTGTGAGAGAGTGCTGTGAGTGTGATGGGTGTGAGAGTGCTGTGTGTGATGGGTGTGAGAGTGCTGTATAAATGTTATTGTGTGTGTGTGTAGGGGGGGGTAAATAAAAAATAAAAAAAAACAGGCATTATGTCCCCCCCTTCCTTCTTACCTTTAGCCTGGGAGGGGGGGGACCGGCACGCTGGCAGGCGGGGTGGCGGTGTTCCCTGGTGGTCCTCGTGGGTGAGTGAACTCTAGCCTGTGAGGCTAGAGTTCACTCTCGCGAGATCCGGTTGTTGCCATGGCAACGCGCCAGATCTCGCGAGAGGAACCCGGCGGAGCTGCAAGTTAGAGCTCCGCCGGGTCCTCTCTCCAGCCTGGCTCCCTCTCTGCCCGCCGGCGGCCGCATGTGGGCCGGTCAGGGAGATCCTTGATCTCCCCACCGGCCCGTCGTGGCAAACAGCGGGGCCGGCGCTGGGAGAGTGCCGGCCCTGCATAGACCGGCAGGGGAGATCCTGGGACCTCCCCTGCCGGCCTCGGCCCCACGGCCACCGCGGCCCACCGGGCATTTGCCCGGTGTGCCCGATGGCCAGTCCGGGCCTGGTTAGCCTTGAATGCCCTGGAACTATTTTCATCATGAAAACCTTGTGGTTCCCGGTCGGTCCTCCAGCGGCACTTAGCCGCGATTCTATGGAACTGTTTTGGGCATGGGACCATGCCTGCGCCTGGGCAAAACTATGACTTCCATAAAATTTCTGAATCCCCTATCTGATATGGGTGATTTATAGATATGTTGTTCACCTAGATCTGGGCTATCAGGGGATGTGACATTTATGGGGATATGTTGTGTATTGGAGACTTTGTAAAAATGGGTGTTTTGGGAGTGTCGTACATTTAATTACTGTTTTTATTGGTTTGTTAACTTGTGTCCCTGTGCCCAACAAGGTCCACAGGGGTGTCACCCTTGTTGGGAAACTTGCATAAAAGGCCAGTGTGGCTCCATTAAAAATTGAGTTCCTGCTTAACCCTCAACACGTAACTTGGTCTCGTGTTTGGAGGGTAACTGCTATATTCACACTGGGGATTGCTATACTCCTTATACTCCCCTGGGTATTAATCACTAGCTCTTGTAAGAGCTGTTCCTGCTACGCTCTCTGGAGTAGGAGAGGTCTTGCCCACACGGTCCTGGATGTCAGAGGTTGGTCCAAGGTGGGAGGAAAACAGCAAGATCCCAGCTAAGCTACGGCGGTTGTGGAGTCTGCAGTGCTTGTGGTGTCCGGTGTGGTGCTTATGGTCCTCAGCGTTAGCTAGGAAGCATCTGTTGGCAGAGGTGCACAGTCGGTGTGCCAGGTGATCCGTCACCGTTATTTAAAAAGTTTTTTAAAATTTCTAAGCAAACATAAAAATATATTAATTCTAAAATTATACACTGTCCAGTACTTGAACTTACAAAATACATTAATATTATTATTATATTTATATAGCAACGAATTCCGTAGCGCTTTACAGTGGGTGGACTAACAAACACGTAGTTGTAACCAGACAAGTTGGACGCACAGGAACAGAGGGATTGAGGGCCCTGCTCAATGAGTTTACATGCTAGTGGGAGTGGGATACAGTGACACAGTAACAGGGGGATTGAGGGCCCTGCTCAGTGAGTTTACATGTTAGAGGGAGTGGGGTATAGTGACACCGTAACAGAGGGATTGAGGGCCCTGCTCAGTGAGAGGCTTACATGTTAGAGGGAGTGGGGTATAGTGACACAGTAACAGAGGGATTGAGGGCCTGCTCAGTGAGTTTACATGTTAGAGGGAGTGGGGTATAGTGACACAGTATTAACAGAGGATTGAGGGGCACTGCTCAGTGAGGTTACATGTTACAAGGAGTGGGGTATAGTGATGACAGTAACAGAGGGATTGAGGGCCCTGCTCAGTGAGTTTACATGTTAGAGGGAGTGGGGTATAGTGACACAGTAACAGAGGGATTGAGGGCCCTGCTCAGTGAGTTTACATGTTAGAGGGGGGGGGGTATAGTGACACAGTAACAGAGGGATTGAGGGCCTGCTCAGTGAGTTTACATGTTAGAGGGAGTGGGGTATAGTGACACAGTAACAGTGGGATTGAGGGCCTTGCTCAGTGAGTTTACATGTTAGAGGGAGTGGGGTATAGTGACACAGTAACAGAGGGATTGGGGGCCCTGCTCAGTGAGTTTACATGTTAGAGGGAGTGGGGTATATTGACACAGTAACAGATGGATTGAGGGCCTGCTCAGTGAGTTTACATGTTAGAGGGAGTGGGGTATAGTGACACAGTAACAGAGGGATTGAGGCCCTGCTCAGTGAGTTTACATGCTAGAGGGAGTGGGGTATAGTGACACAGTAACAGTGGGATTGAGGGCCTGCTCACATGCTAGAGGCCAACCTTGAAACTATCAAGTCCAACCTTGAAACTCATTATTTTATGCTGTTGATAAGCATCTATTCTGACAATGCCAATCTTGCTGTGCACCATCGTCTAAGCCAGACTCTACCCATCGCACTTTTTTTATGGTCACTGGGTATTTTTTTCTTCCACTACTTTGGCCTCATAAGCACGAGCTACATTCATTACACGTTGCCCTTAGCTTCTGTTTTTTACTTTGGCCTAAACTCACTAATTCCCAATTGTCTACTGTGCCGTAGACTTGTTGGATATGGTTCTTAACCCCTGGGTCCAGACCCAAAAATCAGAGCAGAATTAACCATAAGATGACCTAACGCACTCTCTTAGAGCCCAGGGGTTAGACACAGGCCCTTGAACCATTTATTTGCTTGACTCCATTCACTATCTCTATGTGAAGAATAAACTGGGACCTTAAATTGGCAATTCACCCATGACCATGTAGGACATGAATCCTTCTCCATCAAGAATTAGTCCCCTTGTCACTTCAGTGGGTCCCTGATTGTTGAATCACGATAAGCTAGTTACTGTAGTAGCAAAAAAATAAACAAACCACTTGTAAATGGTCTAAAAATCCTCACTTTCCTTGCATGTTATAACACTACATGGATTCATATATGATAATAATAATTCTCTTATCTTGATTCTCTGTTTGTGGTTTTTGCAGTGCCGGGATCGGAAGCTGGCTGGAGACAGACATGCAGCTAGAAGTTACAGTGCCACTGCTCGCTCAGTAAACATCACTACCACCATCCTGACAATCCTCTTCTTCATTCTCGTTTCCTATTTTGTGATAACCAGTCTTCCCCCTTTGCCTTCATTGGCCCATAATTTAAATGCTATACTGTCTGGAAATTAAATTTAATTGGATCGGTCCTTGCCGGTCACTCACAACTTCTTCTAGCCAAGACAGTCTCTAGATGGACTATGAATCTGGGTTTCTCATCCATTGCACCTTGCTTATACAAGAAACATAATTGGGCTTTCATTTTCCAGGTTAACAAAGTCATTTAACTGACAGCCTCATGCTTAATCCTACAGAGCCTAGTGGCTTTGTGTCCTTCATGTGCTGTTCATGTGGTCAAAAATAAAAATGCAATAAATATTTGTGTATTATTGATATGTCTGCATACGAGTTGCTCAATTAATTCTACTATACAATGGACTATGATGGTATGTGTACAGTAAGTGCTTCAATTATCAACTACATACTAAGCAAGTTGGCTGCAATTCAGTCCTCATCTCATACTAACCAGGTGATGGCTGACAATGTTTGGCCCAGACGCAAGCACAAATTAATGGAATACAGAAAGGTCACGGATTCTACGGGAGGTCTTACACACATTGTGCTAATAATTAAAGAGACAATGAAGGCACTGTAACTGCTTCACCTCATTGAAATGGTTATAGTGTCTGGGGTCCTTCCAGTCTATGCAGTGGCGGATCCAGAGCCTGATCTCAGGAGGGACACTTGTAGATAATGTAAAGAAATAATCCAGACACAACAACCACTATAGCTCAGTGTAGTGGTTATGGTGCCAATAGTGCCGGGACCCCCTCCAAGAGTAACTAGTGAAACCATTTAAGAACAGTTTGACAACTTACCTGAGGTCTGCTGGGAAATAGGAGCAGTGGTGTGTGTGTGAAGGTTGCAGTGTGTGTGTGTTGGGGGGCAGTGTATGTGTGGGTCAGTATGTGTGTGACAGTTGCAGTGTATGTGTGCGTGTGGGCAGGGCCGGACTGGGGATACAAAGCAGCCCTGGAAAAAAAATTTGTGCCAGCCCCATAAGTCACTGCGCCATATATTGTCACGTGTAATATGTAAGGCTATGTCTTGCCAGGACAGATGATTGAGTAATATATATATATATATATATATATATATATATATATATATATATATATTGCTTTTTCTAATATAAAATATTGGTCCTTTCAGGGTAAAACGTTTAATTATACAGTAAGCATACGCACATGCAGACACAGGCAATTTCACTGACATTTCAGTGACACACACAAGCTCATTGATACACAGCCCCATAGACAAACAATCTTACTGATATACATCAGCTCATTGACATAAAAACACAAGCTCACTCACTAGCAGGCACACGCATGCAAGCAAGCTCACTCACTAGCAGACGCACACACACAGCTTAATGTGGTGGTACTGGTGTCTATAGCATGTCCCTACAGGCATTTCAACGTAAACACTGACTTTTCAGACAAAGGCAGTGTTTACATTGCTTCAAAGTGACACTGCTAGTGACAGTCCCTCAGACGGTCACTAGAGGTGCTTCCTGTGTTAGTGCCCTCCCGCCCTCGCGCGCTGCTGAATGAGACTGGCGCCGGAATATGACGTCATATTCCGGCGCTGGTCTCATTCAGCTGCGTGCTGGGGAGCAGAGCCAGCGCAGCTCGCGCAGCTCCCTCAGCGGCCGCCAGGACAAGTCCGCCAGCGGCCGCCAGGACAAGTCCGCCAGCGGCCGCCAAAAGACCTCCCCAGCGGCCAGGGGGGCAAAACCAGTCAAGTAGACTGGTGCACCTGCCCAGGAGCAGAGCCGGTGCAAGGATTTTTGCCGCCCTAGACAAAATAAAAATTTGCTGCCCCCACATGTCACATCACAATGCCCCACCCATATGATCTGCCATATGAACTAACGCCAGTGCTGCACACAGTGCGTGTTTACATTAAAAAGCCTGCAGGGACCAGCTATAGACACCAGAACCACTTCATTAAGCTATAGTGTCCCTTTAATGTGAGGTACATTATAGATTAGTGTCACTAATAATATACTAGATTGCCTACTTACAAGCAGATGAGGATGATGATGGGCTGCAGTTTGGCTCCACTGGTCGGGTGTAGAAGAGGCTCTCTGGAGGCTGTTTGCAACTGTGGTCACAAAATTCAATGTTCTGGGAGAATTGGAAGCAGCTCAATTTTTTGGGGGCCCCTTACACAGCTCAAGGTCTGGGCCCCAGGGCCTGACGGTGAGTATGCCCATAAGGCCCTCTCATAAGTTCTACCCACCCATGAGTTCGCTCACAGGGAGTGGAGTGTGTAGGGGATGTGTTATGTGTTATTGTAGAGGATCTAATATGTGTGCTTATGGCATGTAGTGTTTAGGGTTACCAGTTTGTGCAGGTGATGCAGTGTGTTTGTGTGTAGTGGAAGCAGTGTGTATTTGTGTATAAGGGATGTATTGTGTGTTTCTGGTTGTGTGTAAAGGATGCATTG